GTAAGCAGTTATGTTGCTCATAGAGGATAGAAAGAAGATGAAATTTCTCTCCAAAGGATCATTGATGCTTAGGAAAATCTGTTAGGGACGGAGTCTCTTACCCACAGAGCCTGAAGGGCTTTCACAGCACACCCTAGATCACAGACAATGAGCTAGGTCAGTGATGAAGACCAACAGAAAAGAGGGCAGCAATCTTGATCAGGTAAGTCATGCAGAATACCCTTCTCTGCTTTGTCATAGTCTCAACCCTAGTGGATAAATACAAAAATATAGAACACGAAATACAGTGCAGATGAGTACAGCACGGCCCTTTCTCTATTCCAGTACTGAGAAAAGCTGGAGCAAAAGAGAGAGAGCATACTTTGAATGAAGTATGATGACTTTTGTTACTCTCGTTAATATCCACTTTATTTTGTTTTAATTCAATAATGTAAATTACACATATAGCTGGGATTAAAATATTATATAAAATATTTTAAAAAATAAAATCAGGAAGGAGACAGTCGATTATTTTCCCCACAGCTACTGCTGCATAGAGATTATTTGGTCATTCCTTTTATGGTAAATAGCTGTAGGTCAACTTTTAAAAGCAGCAACTGGCCCAGAACTTTGTTTTTCTTTATTGAAAGTAGAGCTTCCATATCACTACATCCTTTAGAACCCTAGGAGAAAGAAACTGCTTTCAGTATATACTACAGTAGCAGATGATTTTAAAGGCAAATATTAGAGACTTGAACATAAATTTCTTGATTTCTCAAAAGTCTAGTCATTTTTGTACTAATTTTAGAAGTAGAAATTAAGGGAACTATAAAAATGATAATAAAATATAACTCTAAGGTGACTTTAAATTATTAACTTACAGTAATTACACACCATGAAGCTCAATGTATTTCTCAGCAGTTGACCTGTCTGCTTAGATCCCAGGAGGAAATGGGTGGTGTGAACTGGCACCATGCTCAGAAAACAATGCGAGGTTGATTTTTAATAAGAAAAACAATAACAACAACAAACAGTAGAATCGGGACTGAAGTTTTCTGTAAATCCTTTTTCTACCAATAGAAACTTGTATTTCAGAACAGAAACTTGTGGAAATTGGTGTTAATATATTGTGTTTTTAGCTTACGTATGTTTAAACTGAGTTTTTTGAAAACCAGATAGTTTATTTTTCTGCTTTTTTTCAAGAAATTCTTTGGGTTTCACATTTCTAAATAACATTGCTGCTTCAATAACTATAAAAGAGAAATATCTGTGCCAAATGAGTATTTAAAGCTTGTATTATAGCATCACTGTAGGGAAGCAATACTAAGTACTATGATAACAAACACCAGAAACAGACCTGCTTCTCATAATGAGTAAAATAATTTTTGGAAGGATTTTAAAGCAATCTTCCCCCTCCATACCAAATGTATGGCAACTATAAAGTTTCAGAAGGCAAGTAAAGTTTTAGTGTAGCTTCAGGGAACTAAGAGGCAAAAATTGAATTGTGTTCACCACCCCCAAATGGAAAGTCTTCATGGAATTGTGCCATTTGAAGGGAACCTTGAAGAAGGGTAGAGTTTTGATGGATAACAATACAATGAAAGGGAAGGGCTCCATTCAAATTTTTCTCCTATGTTTTGATATCTTGTCCTAGAAAAACACACACACATTTAAAAAAACCTTAACATATCAGTGGACATATCATAATTCAAAATTTCTAATTATTCCCCAATCAAATCAGCATTCACCAAGTTGTTAGTGTTCTTTTTAGTTGCACTCAATTAAAATAGCATGTAGTTGGGTCTTGTGATTTTTATCTAATTGAACAACTGTCTTTTAATCATAGTATTTTAGTTAATTTATATATAATGTGATTATTAATATTTGTAAGTTTAAAAAGACAATATTTTTTTGTTTTCTCTTTATCCAATCTGTTGCTTCCCTTTTCTTCATTTACTGCCTTCTTTTTGATTAAATATTTCTTATGATACTATTTATCTGCTTTGTTGCTTACTAGCTTTAATAACTCTAGTGGGGTTTTTTGTTGTTGTTGTTTGTTCTTTTTAGGGGCCACTTTACAGCGTATTAAATATATACTTAACTTATCACAGCCTGACTCAAAGCAAAATTAAACATTTCATGCATAAGACTGAAAATTTACTACAATATTCCTGTTTCCCCTCTTCATAAACTTTGGGTCACTGTTGTTATAAGTTATTAATAGCACCACTAGCAGTTTTCTTTTATTTTTTGTTTGCTTTGAATAGTCAAATACTGTTTAGAATATTTAAAAGTATTAACAATTAATTTCATTCATATATTTACCATTTTTTGTGTGTTTTTTATTTCATTTGATGTCATTTAGCTTTGCCCTGAAGATTTTTTAATATTTCTTGACTTATAGGTTCTAATAAAGAATACTTTTAAATTCTGTATTTAGACATCTTTATTTCACCTTTCTTTTTGGAATATATTTTTTGCTGGATATAGAATTATAGTTTACAGCTTTTTCCTTTCAGTACTTTAAAGATGTTCCTTCTGCATCTTTTGGATTGCTTGGTTTTTATTTTTAAAAAATTTAAGGGGAATTTGTTTCCATTCTTATTTTCCCTCAATATGTAATGTGTCTGATTGCTTTAATCTTTTTTCTCTTTATCATTAGTAGCAAACAGTATATAGAACCTCAATGTTTCCATCACCCAGGAAAGGAAATTTGTTAGAAATTTATACAGCATTTGTTCTCTTTGTCTCTGTCCCTACACACACACACACACATTTATTATATTTAATGTCTTTGAGAATCTTTTGTAATTAACTTGCAGACATCATCTGCCTTCACCAAAAACACCCCAGTGTGTATTTCACCAAAACAGGAACACTCTTCTATATAACTGGAATACATCTTCTAAATCAGGAAATCAACACTGATCATCATTACCATTCCATAAACAAAACCACATGCACATTTTCCCAACTGTATCAACAGTCTTTTCTGTTCATCTTGTTTAGGATCAGATCCATTTGTATGCGTTTCATGTTAATGAGAGCTAAAGAGTACAACCCTTATGTTCTATATGAAGTTGCATTCATCAGTTGTTTTCTCATGACAAATCCATTTCATGAAATATTAGCACTGCTATCACTAAAATGATTCTATGAACTTCTCTCTGCACTATTTGCAGCCCATCGTCATCCAACCATTGGGGATGTTAATCATGTTCTCCTTGTCATATTCATATCTGCCAGGTTTTCCCATCACAGTTTCACTGTTTTCCCTTTTGCAGTTGGCTAGTATTTTCTGGAGGTATTTCATGATTACTCATCAAACAATTACCCGTCAGTTTTATCCATTGCTTAATCTCTCCTAAAATAATACTTCGTTTGATGTTCGACTGGAAGAGGAAGATAAGGGAAAGGAAAATGAGGGGGGAGGAATGATTACTTGGGAGGAGCAGAGAGGCAGGGAAAAGAGGATGGAAAGTTATGAGAAGATGAGGGAGACAGAGAGCTGGCTGAGAGCTCTGGTGGGGTTGGAGGGGTGTTGGGGTCAAGCAAAAAAGGAAAAAAGAGAAACAACTCATGGACACTGGCAGCAGTGTGGTGATTGTGGGGGGCGAGGCAGGGGAAGGCGGGTGGGTGAAGGTGGAACAGGGTATATGGGGACAAGTGGGAATGGTAAAAATACAATACAATGCAATAAAATAATAAAAAAGAAAGTTTGTAGAAAAGTAAAGATAGGAAATGAAGAGAAGGGGAAGCAAGGCAGAGACATAGTTTTTAACTATTTCAATCCCATTTTTAAATAAGGAAAAAATCAAATACCTGTCTTGGGTTCATATATTACTGAACCTCAGAATAGGCATTTATTATTCAAAATAATGTTTAAATGATTACTGTGCAGAGTTAGAGACAAATAAAGCTCAAGATAATCTGTATATTAATTAGGACCAAAATCTAGTCATCACTGGGGAGAGACTGAAATGTGAAAGGGCAGAAGGTTTGTTGTGGAGCAGTTCAGCATGTTCTTTGTGCTGATTATTCTGTAAGAGTCCCCAGCCAATGTGGCCAATGATGGTGTATATCTCAGGGTTTGGGTCATAATTTCTAGGCAATAAGAGAAAAGTAGTGCATGGCCAGGTGATGAGAAGAAAAAGGGTAAAAGTGAAAAAGTGCACGCACTTTTGTTCTTCCACAGCAACCCACAGAAGCTTCAATCATAGCTACTCTCTTTATTGAACATCCAAACTTTTTATTTACTTATCTATTCTGTTATTTCTTGGTGGGTGATAACCTTCTCTTAATCATTTTTATATACTTTTGCACTCAACACAATGCCTAGCCCATAGTAGGAATTTAATACATAATTTTTGAAGATACAGAGAATAACTAAAACTGTGTGGCTTAAAGCTTAATGAATTAATAGGACAGTATCCAGGACTAATGTCAAAAAAATTATAAGAGCCCTCCTGGATTTGTGGTATGGCAGGTTAGAGAGGTTCCTGGCAGTAATTATTATAACAACTGCCAGAGTAATATTGCTACCTTTTAACATTGAGAAGTTTTGTCTACCTGCTCAACAGCTTTCTACTGGGCTGGATCCCCGAGATTTGAACTGCGTTTGATAGCCTGTGGTTAGGTTCCCTGGACAGCAGTGTCTGCACTGTCAGGGGCACCTTTTCTAGATAAAGAATAGACCCTGAAAAAAATGCAAATGTCCTCAGGGGCTGAGACACAATTCATTCTTTTCCCTGTGGTGATTAATCTGGGAGGCAGAATTACACAGTGGTTAATGGTGTTGGCACTGAACAAACCTGAGTTGAACTCCACCTCTGCCAAATCCTAATCAGGAAACCTTAAAGCAATTTACTTAACCTTTTTATGTCAGTCCAAGTCCTAGCAGTCAACAATTGGCATACTCCAAAGGGTGTAATTGAAGAGAGCATAACAAGGCTGTGCAGAGTTAAGGAAGGAACAAAGGGTAATGAAGAGCCAGAATTAGCAACAGCAGGAAGCTGTTTTCACTGAGGCCTAAAAAGGGAAGGAGAAGGAAAGGTATTACCATATTGCAGAGACAGCTGGGAACACATAAAGGGACTACTGATTTGAGCTGTGGTCATGAAGAAAGGCAGTCCCTGCCAGAACCTTGGCAAGGTGAGTAAATATCCTGATGTCTTCTCTCACACTCCCCACCCCGGGGCCCCTGTCTTAGTTCTTCCAGCTTCCAAACCTGACCAGAAGCCAAATGTCATGGAGCCCAGGAAAAGAAGTCTTTATGATGTAGGTATTTCAGGGGGCTGGGGACCCAAGGTTCAGGGACCCACTGTGGATTCTTAACTTCATGCCGGAAAGAATTCAAATTCAGGCCAGCAGAGAGTTTAAAGTGAAAATGAGTTTTTAGTGGAGTGGTGAGACAGAGAATGCACTATTCCACAGACAGAGCAGCTCTTCTTTAGAGGAATTTGCTTCCTTTATTTAGGACCCTTTAATCAGGAGGGACAAGGATGGGTATTTAATAAGGGGAAGGAATATTCAGGATCTTCTTGGGAAAGGGGTGGCTATTTCTCGGGGGAGCTCCACTGGCCATTTTATGTTTTTATATGGGCTGTTTCCAATCTTGGTGGCTCTGATGTGTATCCTTCAGCATGCTAATATATTATAATGGGCGAGTAATAAGGCTACGGATCATCGTAAAATGAAATTAGTCGCCATGTTGGATTGAGCTGGTCTCTGATGGTTTTTAGCTGTAAATCTAGGTGTCTGTGTGTGTGTGTGTGTGTGTGTGTGTGTGTGTGTGTGTGTGATGGTCTTAATATCCTCTTCACAGTTCCTAAAGCTTTTATCTATACTGCTGTTTTACCACACACTCTATGTATCTCACTTGGAGGTCAAACCCCCAGGGTGCAGAACAGGGCAGAAAAATGCAGCATATAAATCTGGAGGGAAAGAGAGAATAAAGATATTACCTAATCATCAATTTCCTTTTATATATATTGGAGATTATAATCATATCCTCCTCACATATGAGGGTTGAATGAGATAATGAATGCAAAGCTTTTAGCATGAAGCTTAGCACACTGTTTATACTTTTTAAGCATTAAAGTATCCTCTAAAAGTTGCCCTACACTCTGATCAGAGGAATCCTAATTTCTGAAACCAGTCATTTTCTAATTAATCTTTTATTTTAAAACAGATGAAATAAAATCCAAGTTCTGTTTTCAGAGTGTACATACACATGAGCTTTATACAGTTGGCAAATATTCCTGGCATCGGATTTGGATTCAGAAAAACTCAGGGGCCAATCTGGGTTTCAGTTTCTTTCTTTACCACTGTATGGGACTTGGGCAATTGTGTATTTTATATGAGCTAGTTTTTTAAAGTCTAAAAACAAAGAATAATAACCACTGACTCACAGGTGTGTATCAAAACTAAAACAAGGTGTAACACATAAGAGGCACTCACAAGTCAGCACTGCTCAGCTTTAATATCACTACAGAAGCTAAATATGATATTATATATTATACAGCATAAATAGTTGTAGGGTAGATGTTTATTTTGTGCCTTATTTTATTTTTAATGTTGAAAGAATTACATAGATAACCTTAAAAACTATTCACTGATCATCTTATACTAATATTTCAATATCTATGTATTTGAAATTATAAGGCAAATATCCTAACACCAGACAGATTATATTAGTGTTAATATACAGTCTAAAAATAGGCAGAAAAATCTCAATAATCCTCAAATATATTTTTATGTTCTCCATTACCAAATAGCAAAGAAAATAACAGGCTGACTCCAGATGTTCTCAGCAAAATGTCTTCTTGTTCAACCTGACTTTATTTTCCTTTGGCTAAACTATATGGAGTCATTTTGGACAATTACACAATTTTCCTTGCCCTGCCTGGTCAAGAGACACTAGAGGGAAAATGTTTGGGGAAAAAATAGAATCGCTGTACCTTTTCTTGGAGGGAACCAGCAAATGTCACTGAATGAGAAATGTTCTTGATGCAGAAGAATACACCAGTGACGAGCGTATTTGCTATTCTTGATGGCTGCATCAAGCCCACACCACCATCAGCATTCAGTGTAGCACCAAGACCTGCAAGAAACTGTTCAATTTGTAAAAGGTCAGACATTGGTAGCCCTAAGCTTTTGAAATGAAGCAGAGAAAACAATTTCAGAGCTATTTACTACCATGTCTTCTGAAGCTTTTGTCCTGGTTTCCAGTAAGAGAGATTTGCTTTTATAGTCCCAATCCTTTAAGTAAATACGATGCTTGTGGCTACAAAAATGCATTTGATAGCTTTCTTTGAGTCATAAGCCTGTTATCTTGTTTCTGAAATCATAAAGCCCACTAGGCATTGCATTTTTCCAGAAGTATTGACTGAGGTTTATCCTATACATTTAGGTAATCAGATAGGGGTATTGATGATGATAGAATAACTTAGGTAATGCAGGAAGGAATTTATAATACATGAAGGTTCTTTTACAATAAAAGCAATGTGACTTTTGGAGGGTAGAAAATTGGTATTATTGTTTGGTTGTTAACATTTCACATTTCTAATATACTTCCTAGAATTTTTTTTATATTATCAAGAATATAGTTGGAGGTCCTTCAGTATCATTTTATAGAAAAAACGCACATGTAAATGATCAAACTTGTTATCAGTACTTCTAGAGTACTGTCAAAATAAGAAGAACTGTAAATATAAAGCAGACAGGAGCTTGTGAAAAGATCTGGTGTATTTTTTATCACCAGATTGGAGTACATTCTGGATGTACTTTTTAAAAATTTTTATTTAGTTATTTTTCAAGTACAGTTTTTTATCTATTTCTCCCATCCCAGCCCCCCCCACACCCCATGCTCCCCACCTCCCTACCATTTCCTCCCCCCCAGTCCTCGTCCCTGTGTCCTTCATACTTGTTCCTCCAAATCTCTCCCCTTTTTCCCCCTTAAATTCCCTTCCCTCTCCCCTCTGGTCACTGTCCCCTTGTTCTCTATTTCAGTGTCTTGGTTTTTATTCTGCTTGCTTGTTTGTTTTGTTGTTTAGCTTCCTGTTAAAGGTGAGATCATATGGTATTTGTCTTTCAACACCTGGCCTATTTCACTCAGCATAATGCTTTCCAGTTCCATCCATGTTGTTGCAAAGGGTAGTAGCTCCTTCTTTCTCTCTGCTGCATAGAATTCCATTGTGTAAATGTACCACAGTTTTTTGATCCATTCATTTACTGACGGGCACCCAGGTTGCTTCCATCTCTTGGCTATTTAAATTGTGCTGCTATGAACATTGTGGTGCATAGGTTCTTTGATATTGATGTTTTAGGATTCTTAGGATATAATCCTAGCAGTGGAATTGCTGGGTCAAAAGTCAGGCTGATTTTTATTTTTCTGAGAAAATTCCATACTGTTTCCATAATGGTTCCAGACTGGTACGACCATTATGGAAAACAGTATGGAAAACTGTATGTACTTTTAATAAAATAAAGAAACAAAAAACAAAAAAAATTATAAATGGCATCTGTTTGATTTTAAAATTATTTAAATTTGAGGTGAATATTATAGTACATTTATTCTACAATATTTTTAGAAATTTAAGCAATTCATAGAGCCATTGTTTTAAAACAGCATTATTTTTACTCTCATTTTATAGTAAGATTATATGACTCCTGATTACATACTGGGTAAGAAAAAGATTTCTTCTCAGATAATGTGAAACATGAAAGTAAAAAAAACCCAGAATGGTATATTCTCAAACTTCTTCTCTAGGTCTATTTAAGTTTTATACTGCCACAAATATTATATAGAGCTTTGTGAAATTTATTCAGCTGTTATGAACTGTTTTAGGCCAACAATTATGATGTGTTTTCAGCAGCATGTATTTCTGTACCTGAGATGTAACAAGCTTTGCTAAGCTATGTGATAAAATGGGGATCAAGAAAGGCAAGATTCTTTCTTCCATTGAGTTCAAAGTCTTAACAGGTAGTCAATGCTACTGAAGAAGTAGTGAAGGAAGTTATTGTAACATAAATATAGGAGCCAGAAAGTCATCACTAAGGCAATTGTATGAACTGAAAATTAATGGCTGATTGGTATTAATAGACAAAGGAAGTAAGTGACAATGGTTGCTGACAAACAAAATGGGGGAGCAGTGAGTGAGGAGAATAGCATTTCAGCTGAAGGAGCAGCTTATTCAAAAACTCAAAGTGAGATGAATAGCAACAGGAATGTACTCAAGGAACCACCCACCATAAGTTCAAGAAGACCAGTAAGGCTGGAATTTCTGATAGAAAATAGATGAGGCTCAAAGACTTAAAAAGATTAATTTATACTAATACTTATTGAATTAACTCAAAGAATTATATTGTCAAATCAGACTCATAAGAATTAGGAATCTTACCTAGTGTCAAGCTTTACTAATAATATTAAGGATATAAATATCTCAAGAACTAGCCAAACAGAAAAAAGTTTAAGATAAGCAATACAACTCTACAGGTACTTCTTGACCTGAAAATGTGCTTTTTGGGAGATGTTTAAGATGAACGATCTAAATGATGCATGGGGTCATCATTTACACAAAAAGAAGTTATTTTGGTCTTTACTTGGCTTCTGTCATATTTTCCCTGGTTCCATGGCCCATAAATCCAGAGTTCATGTTTGTTAGCCAAAAAGAGTCCTATTTAAATCTGGTATACTTTTTAAAATCTGCTAAAGGCATTATATAGATAATGACCTTCTCATGAGCAATAGCAGTAATGTGCTTGACAGTGGGTCTGTCAATAACACATTTTAAGGGACTTTGACCAGGTTATCTTTCTTTCTATTTCTAGGACATTCCCTGGTAAAGTGAGAATATATCACAGACTGCTGTTAATTCTTTTCTTTTCATCTACAAAATGTATTATAGGTTTGGGACATTATCATGAAAACAATGACAAGAACAAAAGACTTTAAGACCAACATGTAAAATAAGATGACTAGGTTGAAAAAGAAGATTATGGGCATGAAGACCAGTTGCAACGTTTAGAATGGTGAGCATGGCTTAGGCTAGGGTATCCCACAGTATTGTCTCAAGAGCAAAGGGCTCTGTCTCAAGGCAGATGCAAGGGCTCTTCATGAGTTAGAGTCCATGGAGCTTGGTGGTTAATTA